CGGCGGCGACCAGAGGCAGAGCAACAGCGACGGCGAGTGCGGCGACAAGAGGCAGAGCAAGAGCCGCGGCGAGCGTGGCGGCGAGCGCGGCGACGAGAGGCGGAGCAAGAGCGGCGGCGAGCACGGCGGCGAGAGGCGGAGCAACGGTGGCGACAAGAGGCAGAGCAAGAGCGGCGGCGACGAGAGGCGAAGCAAGAGCGGCGGCGAGGAAACCAGCGCGATTGAGGTCCCGGGGGAGCTCCGTCTTCGTCTCTTCCAGGCCCTCCTCCTCCTTCGCTTGCGTTCTTGCGGAGGTGAGGAAGACGGCGTCGACGGCGAGGAGGATGGCGTCCACAGCGAGGAGGAGAATGGTGCGGCAGCGAGGAGGACGGCCTAGGGTTTTTGGGGTCTCTTTGTTGAAAAGGAGGATATTTCCTTCATTCAGATCAGATCTGTCTTTGGACTTTCGTGGACTTTCGTTCATAGCAGAGCAAGTCTCAAGGCTGAAGAAGAGATATAAATTGTTTCTATTTCTGAAACAGAAATAGGAGAAGCAAAAAATTTTAACTTCTGATTTCTCTTTCAAATCTATTTCTGGAACAAAAATTTGTTTCAGAAATAGAAATTAAAATTGAGTTACCAAACGGATTTCTGTTCCAAACCTATTTCTAGAACAGAAATAGAGAAACAGAATGGTTATCATGCGCAGCCTAAGCTTCCGTCTGCGCTCCATTCCTGAAGGAAACACTGCCTTCAAGTATTATCTTCATTGGTTTTACCAAGTCTCATTGAGCGATAGCGACTTCTGTCCACTTTCTTGTCCATATTTCCAAGATATCTTTTCTTTACTTCGCTCCAAAGATACCTGGAAATTTTGGCTTTCTATTTTAGCTGCATCCAATCTGACATTGAGGCTGTCTATCAAAGGAAAACTGAAGTATGGGGTTGAAGTATATTCCCCTCAATACTGCGCTCGGCAATTTGGGTTGACGCAGGGTATTCCGATTCTTGCCCTCTATTCCATGGACTTCCCTTTTAATGAGAAGCGTCTATTTGCGGTAACCAAAAAATCTGACCCTTTCATTTGCTGTCGCCGGATCATCTCAAAAGTGTCAAAGAATCATGTGGTAAAGTCATTCGCGCCGTCTCCGAGTGCTCTTTAGAGCTTTGAGAACTAGTGGAAAGGCTATCGGGATGACCTCTTTAATTCTGAGGTTGACGACATACTCGGCAAGATCGCTGGTAGGGGCTCTCTTTCTAAACCTCCCGAGACTTCTTTGCGATCGCAAACTTCTCCTCCTCACAGAACATTGAAGAGGGCTTTAAATCCTGGTATTTGTTTTCCTTTCTTCCTGCTATTTCCTTTAGATGATCCACATCTCATCCTTTAACTTTTCCTTTTCAGAAGATTCCGAACGTGCTGTCGCTTCTAGGATCAGGATACGCTTATCTAGGTCTACCTCTGAAATGCCGAAGGCTCTCACTTTATCCACTCGCTCCTCTTCTGCTCCCGATGTTATCGGAGTCATGGCTCCAAGCCTTACTCTTGCTGATATCTCGAAACCATAAAAAATTACATCAGCTCCAATTGATTCTCCCTCAGCGGCTACTACTCCTCGTGTCATAGAGCCAGTTTCCCCATCCGCCGAGGATGCAGGTGACGCCGCAAAATCTGATGCTTTATCTGGCGATGGGGCGGTCGACGGCTCAAAGCCTGGTCTCATTTTGAGTGGGACCACTGAGGGCCTTATTCCGAACGTGTCTCTTGTTTTGCCAACACCTTATTCTCCTTAGGATTTAGTTGAGCTTTCCGCATCCTTTGAGCCAATTCCAGGCGTAGAGTCTGATCTTTCGCCTGTGGCATCGATGACTTTGGAACAAGTGTCTCCATTTGCCGTACCGACGGTATCTCCCACGGCATTATCCGATCTTGTGGTGAGTTTTATATGTGACGTTGGGGTTAGATCTTTTCTTGTTCTCCTTTGCTCATGGCTCATTTGAATACTTAACCGCTCGCTGGTCTTAGCATTCTTGTCGTAGACTTGCTTCTTTCGTTGTTGGATCGACTTCTGAGCTTGACCTTAGTGGAATTGCACTCCCATTTCCTAAAGACGTTGCTAGTGCTAGGAAGGCACTCCTTGAAGCTACACCGATGCCTTCGGCTACCCCTTTTGGGTGCAATGAGGATCTTTCAAGTCTTTCCGCTAAGGAGAAGTGCCAAGAGTTCTTCAAGCTATCGGAGGGCAGACTTCCAACGATCATTTCAGATCCCCTCCTCGAGACAAAGGCCCTGATCCTTCTCAACGCTATGTGTGAAGACTCAAACTGTGCTAAATACCGTCAGTTTTACGCTCGTTGTGAAGCGTATCTCCCCAAGCTTATTTCAGACCTTGAAGCTGTCAAGAGGAACTGTGATCAGCTCCAAACTTTGGCAATGTTAGAGAGACAATCCTGAGTATTCCTCGATGGTGTCGAGAAGCAGAAGCAATCGGCTGACCATCTTTTCAAATCTTATGAGGCGATGGTTAGCGCTAAAGCCTGCCTGATCAAAGACATTTCTGACCTTGAAGCTAAATTGATTGAAGCTCGTCGAGCGCTTTTGGCTCATCGACTCGATATGACTAGATCATGGCGTTTCCTTAATGCCGAAGTTAAAAATAGTAACTCAACGTAACAAGGAGGCCTAGGACTATGTCAAAGCCTTGGATCGTCGGAACGTCCTCATACCTCGTCTCTTTGCCGAGAATCTATCTTTGGATAAAGACTTTATTTCCTTTCGAGCCGCAGTTGAAAAGATGTACTCTTCTTTGTGAACAATGAAGTTGCGCTTATTTTGCTTACCCTTTATTTTGTTCCTTCTACATGGCATTAACGTTTCTTTAGTCACGGATGCAACTGTGACTAGAGGCTTGCCTGTCCTTTCAGACTTTTAAATCACGTCCATTAATAAATGCTCATGTACAGTAGCCAACTTCTCTCTCCACGTGTCCCATGATATAAATGAACCGCCACGGTTACCCACGTTCTTTTGGGATTTTATGTATTTTCAACTTCTTTGTTTGGCGGTTTCTTCCTTCAATCAACTTTTATTTGTTCTCCGATTCGTCTTCTTTCTGACCATTCTGTTCTGCTCGTCACCCTGTAATCCTTCACTTCTCTACTCATTCATGGCTCCTCACACTAGAGCATCCAACCAAATCCACTACCACCCTAGCACTTATGCTGGTCTGCTCTTCTCTTTACGCTGACTAGAGAAAAGAGGTGCTCTCTCCACACAGTTTGTAAACTTGGTTCATGGTTTCGCGGATGAGGATTACGCCGGATCTCCTAAACTTATAGTCGGTCCTTACTTTGAGGTTCTTCCCCCCACCTCCGCTCTTCGATGAATGTTTCCCTCGGCATTTCAAAGAACGTCTTCCATTTCAGCAAGGGTCTTTGACTAATTAGCAATGGCTTCCCACCAATAAGAGGTTTGATTCTTGCCCACTTTTAATCATGTGTTTTTCACATGGTATAGCCGTCTCAAATCAATCATGAAGCCTCACTAGAAGGGACTTCAAATTCATCGAGAACTTGAACTTTGTTGCGTCCCCCTTTTCATTGACTACGACATGCTTGACAGCCTTTGCTGCTTTGGGTCTCCTTCTACCGAGAAAATATTCAGTGCTAATTTAGCACCACGTCATCGTCCTACGTGACGTGTATATTTCATTCAGAGTTCGATACGTGTCGGCTTAGCTGGAAAATGGAAAATTGAAAAAAGTCTTCTTTTCATTCTCTTCGCGACAGGAAAAAGGATGGAGCAACAATAAATGCCAAAAATTCAATTCTCTTTCTCCCTCCTTTTTTCAATTTTCGGCTTTACCTGTTCAACGAAGAGACTCTCTCTCTCTCTTTCTCCAGCACTTCGATCCCGAGGCCCCTCTCCCTCCGCCTCCGCCTCCGCCTCCGTCGTCGCCTCCGGAGCCCGGCTCTCTCTCTCTCTCTCTAGCACTCCCCCCACCGCCTCCGCCTCTCCCAAAAGCCCCACAGTCGCTCCAAGCTCAGATCTGCCTCTGGCACGTCCCCCCCAAAAGTCCCGCCTGTCGCAGCTCTCGTCGACTCTCGGCTTCCTCAGACGGCATCGCCTTGTGCCTTTCGCGGACAACATCACCACCATGCTTGGTTGCTGTTCTGTGTTCTTTCACGACACCGTCGTAGCTGCTGTGCTGTCGCCGTGCCGAACCAGCCCCGTGTTGCGCCAGCCGCTGCCATCACCGTTTGACGCCACGCCAAGCCCGCTGATCGCAGAGCCGCTCTCGTCCATGCCGCCGTGTTGCCGTCCCGACGCTGATTTAGTCGGTAACGACTTCATGCATCTTTCTCTCGTAACAAGTGTTTGTTTTTTATTCTTTTGTTAGATCACGTCTCTGTCTTGCGAGTAAGGTCGTATCTGCGGAATTTATGTGACGTTCGAAGGCCCAATGCTGTTAAAATTCACGAGTCACTGGCGAATGTGAGGGTTTTGGTAACTAGAGGCTCTGTTGGCTTGCTGAGAAAATGCAAGGATAGGGAAGAAGCATCATGCGGTGGCCTACTTTGAATGAACTCAATAAGTTCGGCCATGTTTTTGCACGTTTCACTGGACATTTGTCGCGTCGCCGGCTTCATAATCATTCAATAGAGGATGGGTTGCGTATCAATTTTTTCTACCCATATCAGGGGGAACACAAAGGCCCTTACTATTGCCTGATGAATTGCCTTTGCAAATTGAATCGATACAGAGTTACCACTACTTCTGCTCTTGCTAGCTAGGGGATATATTATTTCATTTCTATCAATTCCTTTTGAATTAGGGGGAATGCGTAACCTTTTTTCTGCTTCTTTTTGTCCTATTCTGGGCATCCATGTTGACGGTACTACTTAGATATAAGTTGAACAACCAGCGGCCTTTCAGAAAATAGATGCCACATGAATTTTGTGCTAGTTCATTCCCCATTCAATAGTTCATTTGCGGAGAAGCTTGACAAAGTCATTTTTTCTCAATAGGTTCATTGATCCGGTGGTGAATGGAGATTATCCAAGCATAATGAGAAGCTTGGTGAAGGACAGATTACCCACTTTCATTGCAGAGGAGAAGAAGCTGATGAACGGGTTTTTCGACTTCATCGGTATCAATTACTATTCATTGACCTATGCTCAAAACGTCCCAGAAGATGAACACAAAGTGTCAACTAGCTACTCTACCGACTCGTCCGTGAAGGAATCTGGTAAGACGAGCCATATCTTTACCATGCCAAGATCATGAAAGATGTATTTGGACGAGTAGGTATGATAATCCATCATTTTTAACCCACTTCTCTGATTTTCAGCAACCAAGAACCGCATATCAATTGGTGCAAAGGTACATATGCTTTTACAACCTCATTGCAGCACATGACAGTTGAACCTTATTACCAGAATAAACGAATCTTCATTTTCAGGCTGAAGGGATTGAGTGGATATAAAGGTGTCCAGATGGTCTGGTGCAAATTTTGGACTATATAAAGCGGAAGTACCAAATCCCAAAGATTTACATTACTGAGAACGGTAGGAGTCGCTTTTCTAGTGATATATCATCCAGATTATATATTTGGACCTTCCATAAAGAAGTAACACATTTTACTCGGGAAACATGTTTTATTACAGGTGTCACTGAAGCAAAGGTAGAGGGCCGTCCACTGGCCAATGTGCTGAATGATACTCACAGGATTGATTGCTTGAAGCAGCATCTCGCACGTCTCCTTACAGTGATGAAGTAAGTCCTCAAATCCATCACATTTGCGATCGTCACTACTTCGGTTATCTGCCATTGCAATGCATCATCATCTTAACCGTGTGTTGGGTTTGCTACACATGTCAAAAGAGGGTGAGAGGAATATTTCTTTGCATTCACACCAAGGTATCTGCTATTTGTGATTGCATGTGTGGCAAGTCGTGGCTTGATCCACTTTTACTACGGCGACTAGTTTAAACTCTTAATTTAGCTCTGCTCGAAGCCAACACCCGGTAACAACTTATCAAATTGATCAATTTGGGCAATGCTGGAACGGGGTGAATGTGCGAGGATACATTCACTGGTCACTCGCTGACAACTGGGAATGGGCGTCGGGCTTCGTACCGAGGTTCGGGCTCTACTACACTGACTATAAGGACAACCTCAAACGTATTCCTAAAGCTGGCTGCTCTCAACTGTTGTCGCCTTAGTCTGAATATTCTGTTTCATCTTCTTATCATATAGTGAGCTGTACTATTGTTTATCAGAGTGATATCCTCTTTGGAAGTACACGTTACCATGAGGATTGTAATTTGTCAGACTAGTGCTATAATAATTTGAAGAGTTTCAATAATTCACCATTGCCACTGTAACTAATTGCCCTCATTTAGTCTAAATGTATCATGTGGCATTGGGACTGCACAGATGAGATGATCTTTAGAGGGAATCGGCTGCAATTGTGGGCAACTCAATTCGAATTAATGATCATATATTCCAAGGGATGACCCCAAAAATCTCAGAATGAATAAGAATACTACACATTCATCAGTTTGGCGAGTATATATTCAGATAACGAGCTAGACCGCCATTACCTAATATCTAATATATATTAATCTCAAAGTCAACAGTGGTATTTCACAAAAAAGGGTCTCACGATTCAAGAAGCTCTCAATTGATTCACTAGACAAACTTGTGATTCTCTCTTCATCCATAACCTTACCCAGCCCCAACAACTGAATATCAATTAACTCAAATCATAAAGATCAGGAAAAGACGGAAAATCGGAAGAGTTCATGAAGTATGGAGTCTATATTTCAAGGGAAGGAAGGCATAATCAAGCAAATCAAGGCCCACTTTATTGTCATCGGTGCTTATCCAATCTAGCATTTACAGAAGAAACGACCACAGACAAGTAATTCTGTCCTGAACTTTATTTCGGGATCATAAGAAAAATCCCTCAACAATTTGACAACAGCCGCCACATTCAATTATACAACAATGGAACCAGCAACTCAAAGGTTCATCCTGTAAAATTCAGTATAATTGTTGGAATTCTCAGGTGGCAGCACCATCTTCAAGAAGACAAAACCTTCTCAACCTCGGCCGTCACATCCTTAGGAGGTTTTTCAGTATGAAGATTTGCAACTATTACCTTTTTGTAGTAGTCAATCACCTGTATCCAAAGTGCATCAATTAGACAGCTAACTAAACTAAAAGAGACATGATTGGCTTAAACAAGCAGGAAGGAGGAAATAAGCAATGAAAGCGAGCTTGTGAAATGGATTGTCTCATAATTCATCCAATGTCTAACACATGAAATTGAAGAAGGCACTAGAAGGAAAACGTGTAGGTACCGGTTCAGTTTGCTTATGGCATGCCTAAAGTCGAGATTTGAGAACAGCTGCAGTATCATCCTTGCGCTGAATCAAAGGTTCTCCGGTAACCTTCAACAGAATAAACAAGTAATGAGACACGGCCGGAGTTAAAAACGGATCAACTTTAACAAACAGTTTAATAATCGAAGCAAAACAACTGAAAAAGGAAAAGGACCCTCTCTCAATGTACAGTAGGCCATCTTGCACAAGAACTTACAGGTTCCTAAACCTTTTAAACCAAGGAAAGAAAAATGAGCATCCAAAATGCTTACATCATCAACCCCCGGAACCTTGGGAGGAGCAAATTTTGTGTGGTAGGTCCTGCCACTGGAAGGATGTATCCACCGACCAGTTATCCTCTCCTCCATGATTGCATCGTCAATTGCAAAATTCAGAACTTTATCAATTTTAGCACCTTGCTTTTCTAGCATCTTACCAAGCTGTCAAAGAAAAAACAGAGCAGCCTGTGAGACTGACAACCACTAAGATGAGCTTCAGCACCAATGAAACAAGAGACTTTCAACATCTAAGAAGAACAACATTTGAGATTAATAAACAAAGGCCCGACGCTTATAACTTGTGCTTCAGTACATCTATTTCTTTTTCCTTTTTGTTAGTGCCTACTGGCTATCTCAATAGCGAATCTCAGAAGATGTCATAGAGATCTATAAAGGCACGGCATTGTCTTTGAAAATAGAAGAGTGTATACAGAGAAGTAAACAAATATACACAATATATGAAGTTTCATGCATGCAGGCATGTGCAGAAATTTATGTGGCTTAAATCTCAAAAGCTCTAGGTATACATTCAATCAACATGACAAGAAGAGAGAAAGCTTAAGGAATCAGCGAGCACCAATCAACATTATCATATTATGACTAAATCTGAAGGCCTGACTCTTTAGTAGAAACAGAAATACCCACAACGCCTGATATGATCTTTCTAAATGTTAAGTGCGATTTTTGTAGAGAAACTATAAAATTAAAAGGCCCCTTTTAGATTGGTAAAAATTAAAAGAAAAAAACAAGGTATATGAAGCGTGAGTTCAATCAAGATACAATCTTTTGTTCTCGAGAGACAATACATTCAGTCAAAAAAGCCCTAGTTAATTTTTACCCTCTCTTCAGCAAATGCCGAGGAAGGACGAGAGAGACGAAACTTACATCATGGTGGTTGACCCGAAATGGAAAGCAAAAAACTTCCCTCATGGTTGACGCGGAGGCGAAGGGGGCTCGGGTTCCGGGGGCCAGCGGCGGCTAGGACGTGGGTGGCCCGGGGCAAGCTCGGGTCAGCGTCGGGACGGCAACACGGCGGCATGGATGAGAGCGGCTCTGCGATCAGCGGGCTTGGCGTGGTGTCAAACGGTGATGGCAGCGGCTGGCGCAACGCGGGGCTGGTTCGGCACGGCGACAGCACAGCAGTTACGACGGTGTCGTGAAAGAACACAGAACAGCAACCAAGCATGGTGGTGATGTTGTCCGCGAAAGGCACAAGGCGATGCCGTCTGAGGAAGCCGAGAGTCGACGAGAGCTGCGATAGGCGGGACTTTTGGGGGGGACGTGCCAGAGGCAGATCTGAGCTTGGAGCGACCGGTGGGGCTTTTGGGAGAGGCGGAGGCGGTGGGGGGAGTGCTAGAGAAAGAGAGAGAGAGAGAGAGCCGGGCTCCGGAGGCGACGACGGAGGCGGAGGCGGAGGGGGAGGGACCTCGGGATCGAAGTGCTGGAGAAAGAGAGAGAGAGATTCTCTTCATCGAGCAGGTAAAGCTGAAAATTGAAAAAAAGGAGGGAAAGAGAGAATTGGAGGTGACTTTTAATTTTTTGGCATTTATTGTTGTTCCGTCCTTTCCTCTGAGAATGAAAAGAAGGCTTTTTTCAATTTTTCATTTTCCAGCTAAGCCGACACGTGTCGGACTCTGAATGGAACATACACGCCACGTAGGACGATGACGTGGTGCTAAGTTAGCACTGAATATTTTCTCCCTTCTACCCATTGCTTCTTTCTCCCGGCTGGTCCAATTTTCGTCACTTTACTCAATCTTCATGCTCTAACTGGTCTCGCACCATACAGCAGCAAATCACTTACCCTATATTCCTGCGAGACTTATATATTTCATGACTTTAAGCCTATCGAATTTTCATCCTAACGCTTTTGTGAAGTGTTACATGTACAGCAGAAGTAGTGTTACTCAGGAAGAGCATGTCGCCTTCCTTTTGTATTGGCTTTCTCGGTATGTATTTTGTATTCCTCAGATCTTATATCTAAGGAGTTTGGTCATCTTGCTGTCACCTTGGCCTCTGAGGGCGATCAACCTCTTGGCAAAATGATACTCGTCACCTTGTGCAGGTCCATTACTGATTTTCAGGCTTCACTTACCGCTGAGCATCCAGATCCCTTTTTCGGACCCCTTTGGCTCCTTCAGGTTTTGATCAAATTATATTTTCTAACCCTTTTAATGCCTTTCCTAAGGTCTCCAGCGATGGTATGAAGTGAACTCTCATCCTCCTGGTCCTGACAATTTTGGTATAACCATCCTCTGCAAGCCACATAGACAACGTTCTTCACATGTCTCTCCCTTTACTTTCTTTCTTAAATACTTTTCTCTCGACTCATTGAGGATTCCTTGAACTTGACCCTGTTCTTCATTCTGGTTTGTACCCCATTTCCGATTGGTTTCCAGATCCCAACTCAGGTAAGTGTCCGGAGGACGAAGATTTATGGAGGCAAGTCCTTACCTTTGTGGATCTACCTTTGTTTTTCTCTGACGGTGGCAAGTTTTTCCTTGGGTTTGAGGTGTACCATCCTCAATATTGTGCTCGGCAGTTTGGAGTGAGTCAGGGAATCCCTATGCCATGCTTATATTCTATTGACTTTCCTTTTGCACTTCCAAAACGCCGTCACTTCCAAGCGGCATTCCAACGCCAGGAAGTCGTCAGAGACAAGATAATTTCCCGCTTTTGTTACGCTAGTTTTCATATACACGCGAGGGCTACTCCTTCTTTCGAAGATTGGTGGGTTCCATATCGAGACGCCTTGTTCTCTGATGGCACCGAACCTATCCTCCTTCATGTAATCAGGGCTGTGCCTCCTCAACTCCACAGTCTTTGCACAGCATCTTCTTCCGGTAAGCCAATTCTTTCATTGTCATTTAACTCTCGGAGTTGGCGACTTATTTTAACAGCGTTTTCTCAGGCATTCCCCCTTATTGTGCGGAATCTTCCCGATCCAGATCTAGTTGCAGCAGGAGTAGAGATGTCACCTCTCGAGATGATTGTATAATCTCTCCTCTTTATAATGGCCTGTCTTCACCTTCGAGGTTACGCGATTTGGAGAAGTAGAGGAGTCTGTCCGATATTTTATCTTATGAATATCCCCACATCATTTCCAATTCGCCTCTAATGGGAGAAATTAATTGTTAATTATTGAACTTGGACCCTTTAATAAGCTCTGTACCCTAGTCATGGCCACGGTTCGGAACCGGCCGGTTCCGGTTCGTGGTCATGTGTGAACCGGAACCGGCCGGTTCCGGTTCGTAATTTAAAAATTAAAAAAATAAATTATAAAATAAAACAATAATGAATTATAAAAATATGAAATAATGAATTATTCAATAAAAATTATAATCAAAATGAAAATTATAGGGGTGATCGGTTCCTGGTCGAAATCGGGAATCGAACCAGTAAGACCGGTCCTTTAATTAATTTTAGAACTAGGAACCGGACCGGCAAATCATAGAACCGGGAATCGGACCATTAGTCCGGTTCTAGGCGGTCCAATGGAACCCTTTGCTCTGAATTAGCAAAGGATCGTAGCCACAAAAGGCATAAAACTTCACATGCTCATGGCTTGGCTTGGGTTTTATAAACAACTCCTTTGATGGTCTCTTCATTCCCATTCGATGTGGGACTCTTGGCATTTGCATGAAGACAAGCCAAGAGTCTCACATTGAAGGTGTTCAAGGCAAGTCGAGAGTCCCACATCGAATGGGAATGAAGAGACCATCAAAGGGGTTGTTATAAAACCCAAGCCAAGCTTTGTAATTAGAGTTCAATACACTCAAGCCAAGCATTGTAATTGGAGATCAATGCACTTACAATGTATGGCAATTAGAGTTCAATTTGTTTTATAAAAAAAAAATTAAATAATAATTTTTTTTTTAAAAAAATATTCATTATTTTTTTAAAAAAAAAAATTTGGAACCGGAACCGGGCCCGTAGGCCACGGGCCGGTTCCGGTTCCGAACCGCGGGCCCGGTCAACGGGCCGGGCCCGGTTTTGACCGGGCCGGTTCCGAGCCAAAACCGGCCCGTGGCCATGACTACTGTATCCTGTTTTGCATTCCAGCACGCTTATAGGGGCTTCTCCCTTTCCATCGACTCAATCCTTGAGGTATACCAAGACAACTGTATAAACTAGCCATTGCTGAAGCGCTCGAAGTTGAATATTGGCAGAAAGAAATGAAGAGGGTCGATGCCGAAGAGCAACTCCGAGTTATGTTAGATCAATTGAATACTAATCAGCAAGTCGAAGGCTCCTTAGACAAATAAGTCCCAGCGATCCACTCTATACTGATATCCTTCGATGGGTCGAGCTTAATGAAACATCTGCAGGTCTAACTACCCAGTTCATACATCAGCGGCAAGATACTTTGGTAGTTCTTACCCGCGAGTGCGAGCGGCTTCGCTCAATGATTCAGGCCCAAACTGCCCGAAGACTAAGACTCCGTGCTGAGAATAGAGCCTTAGAGTTGAGATTGGATACTTTTGTTCTAGCATTGTGGCAACAATTCAATCTTTCGTAGCCCTAGCTTAATCTCCACAGTTTTCTTTTAGGCTTGTAAATTTGAGTGTGCCCCCTTTGTATAAAATTTCTATTTCTTTTCACTTTCGTATGGGGTTTTGATATCACAAGCTCTAACCGATGATCCGGCCATTATCAAGTTAATCCATAATCAACCTGACAAAATGCAACCCTCCTTGTAGCATATTTACTCGGGCACTTTATCTGAAAAGGGCTACAATTCACCCCTTTGTGTAACATCCCTTTACCAATGAGAAAATATTCAGTGGTTAGCGCACGCCAGGTCATCTGCCTACGTGGCGCGCATGAGCTTAGTTGGCTCCACTCAACGGGAGACACGTGGCGCTGAGTTGGACTTGCTGAAAAATTAAAAAAAGGCTTTCTTTTCTCTACGTGGGGACAGAGCTGAAAATTTAAGTTCCCGCCTAAAACATCCCCTCTCTCTCTCTCCTCTTTTCAATTTCCAAGGCCCTTCTTTACCTGCATTCCTGGGGAAGAACAGCCAAAACACACACTCTCTCTCTCTCTCTTTCTCCACCGCCTCCGCCTCCGCCTCTCCCAAGAGCCCCGCCGGTTGCTCCGAGCTCAGATCTGCGCCCAAGAGGGAGAGCCCCGCGTCGCTGCGAGCTCGGATCTGCAT